CCAACAAGAAGCAATACAGTGCAAGCTGCCAAGATATCCGAGCTGAAAAAGCGGATCCAAGCTCTAGAGAAAGACAAGGCCGAATTGGCTAGAGAGAGGGACTCGGCTCTGAAAGATGTTGAAGGTACTGGTAACTAATACTTGAAAAACCATTCCTTTCTTTATGCCCACTCGTTGATATAAATCTATTTATGTAGATCGCAAGATCAAATCTCAGGCTCAATTCGATGTCTTGGTCAACAAAATTGAGAGGCTTGAGGGGGCTAGAGATGAAGTCGCCAACGGCGCTACACCACTCGTCCAAGCCATGTTCTTCAATAACAATGGTCCGAGTACATTTGATGCTTCCGAAATCTTCGACAAGCTGAGAATTGCTCCGGATACATATTTTAAGAATATCAAGGAAGCTGGAAGTATGGGAGCGAGCTTGGCGTTGGCAATGACCAAGTCTTTGTACCCGAAGATTGACATTGACGCCATTGATGGCTTTGCAGACGGGACAAGCGAAGAAGCCGCCCTTGACCTCATCAACGATGCGTAGAAAGCCGCCGATAAGATAGCTGTTGATGTAGTTGAGAGATTCCAGGACAACGACCTCCGGCCGACTGGATCTAATAATTCCGATGATGAAAAAACTGATACTGATTGATGATATATTATAACAATGATGATGATGATGATGATGATGATGGAGGCACAATTTGTACAATACTGATGAATTTATGCTGTGCTTGATATTTCAAACTTAGCTCCTGATTACTTAAAAGCTTTTGTCAAACCTTATTGAGCCTAAAACCCGCAAAAGTTATTAAAAAACTTTCAGTCCTCATTGACTAAGCCAAAAAATCAAGCAAGGCAATGATAAATCAAGTAAGCAAATTGAATTGACAAAAATCACACTCCATTATTATTATAGTATCCCCCGACTGATAACTCAAGGAAAAACTTGATGTTAGCAGTCAAAGAGGGAAATACAAAAGTAATGCCTAAGCATAAAAACGATGAAGATGTTCGATATTCCAAGAGTTGTCGATAGGAGTACCGTCTTCACGCTTGAGTCGGTAAAAACCTGGCCGAGTGACTTCGGAAATTATGAATGGTCCTTCCCACAAGGGAGATAACTTGTGCCGATCCCGTGTAGTTTGAATTTTTCTCAGAACCAGGTCGCCGACTAAAAAAGTTCGTGATCGAACATTGCGATTATGATAACGGCGCATCCCTTGCAAGTACCGAGCCGACTGAATTAAGGCTCCTTCGCGAGCTTCTTCCAGTCGGTTGAGATCATCTACTCGGTCTTCTCCGTAGCGCTCCTCGCTGTAGTTACGAAAACATAGAGATTCAAATTCCACCTCACTGGGCAACATTGCTTCCGCTCCATAGACTAGGAAAAACGGCGACTGGCCCGTAGCCCAACTGGGAGTGGTGCGCAGGGACTAAAGTACAGACGGCAGCTGTTCTACCCACTTGCCGGCATAGGGATGCAGTCAGTCGAAAACTCGTGCTTTTATTCCTTGGAGTACCATGCCATTGGCACGTACGACTTGTCCATTGCTCATAGGGTGCGCTACGGAGGCATAACAAATTTTGATGCCGAAGTCCTCACAGAAATCTTTAAATACTCCACCCGTGAATTCAGTGCCGTTATCCATAATGATCCTGTTGGGTACCCCAAACCGGTGCACAATGTTAATGAAGAAATCTCTAGCCTTGTCTGCCGTGACTGTGATGACCGGTTTAGTTTCAATCCACTTGGAAAATTTGTCAACAGCCACAAAGAGGTGAGTATAACCACCGACTGCCTTTTTAAACGGGCCGACCATGTCGACCCCCAAACCGCAAACGGCCAGGACAACGGGATGGTTTGCAACTCCTGAGCTGGTAGATGAGTTTGTCGGGCAAAAAATTGACAACCCTCACATGTCCGCACAATTTTGTCAGTGTTGGACACAGCGGTGAGCCAGAAAAAACCCTGCCGATAAGCCTTGCCAACGATGGTTCGTGCAGCAGCGTGATTGCCATAGATGCCTGAATGTATGTCCTTTAGCAATTGTCTTCCCTCCTCCAAAGACACACAGCGTTGCAGGATTCCCGATGGACTTTTCTTGTACAGCTCGGTCTCGTGAATGATATATAGTCTGCTGCGCCTAGAGATCCGCTCGGCTTCATCTTTATCTTGAGGGAGTTCTTGTTTGGTCAAAAATCTTATGAGGGGCTCTCTCTAGTCGGCTTCAATCATACTTACGTCTTGAGTGTCCGTAGCCTGAATTGTTTCTTTCCTTGGTACAGTTGGTTCGTAGAGATGTTCAACAAACACGTCGGAAGGAGCTGCTTCTCGCTTTGAACCAAAATTAGCCAGTCTGTCGGCTGCCTCATTATTATGTCGAAGAACATGGGTGAGCTCAAGTCCATCGAATTTGTCTTCCAACTTGCGTACTTCCTGCCAGTAGGCGGTCATGTTATCATCAAGGTAGGACCACTCTTTCATGACTTGATTAACAACCAACTGAGAATCTCCACGAACTATCAGACGCAGAATTCCCAAAGAGATTGCAATCCTTAGTCCGTGAAGAAGCGCCTCGTATTCTGCCACGTTGTGGGACGCAGAAAAATGTATCCACAATATGTAGCTCAATCTTTCTCCAGTCGGGGAAATTTGAACAACCCCCGCTCCAGTGCCTGAAAGCCTCTTCGACTCGTCAAAATGCATGGTCCAATACTCCATCTTCTCCTCAGGCATGTCTTCTTGGCACTCAGTCCACTCGGCGACGAAGTCGGCTAAAGCTTGGGACTTGATCGAAGTTCGCGGCTTGAAGGATATATCCATGAACATCAATTCTAAGGCTCACTTTGTGATCCGCCCATTTGCTTCGCGATTATGAAGTATATCCTCGAGTGGAAACGATGTGACCACCGTGACCGAGTGACCTTTGAAGTAGTGAGATAATTTCCTGACGGTAATTAAAACACCATATAATAGCTTTTGAACCTGAAGATATCTTGTCTTGGAGTCAGCCAAAACCTCGCTAACGAAGTAGATTGGTCGTTGGACTTTTTGAACATGGCCTTCCTCTTCACGCTCAACAACCAGGACTGTGCTTACAACCTGGGAAGTTGCTGACACGTATAACAACAGCGGCTCTTGCGGATGTGGTGAAGCTAAGACTAGCGGAGTAGTGAGAAGATTTTTGAAGTCTTCAAAGGCTTTTTGTGCTTCGGGTCCCCACTGGAAATTGTCGGTTTTCTTCAACAGCTTGAAAAAAGGCATCCCTCGCTCGCCGAGTCGTGAAACGAACCGGCTGAGCGCCGCCATGTAGCCGGTTAACTTTTGAACATCTTTCTGGGAGCTCGGCGGTTTCATGTTGAGGATGGCATTGATTTTCTCCGGGTTGGCTTGTATGCCTCTGTGGGACACCATAAATCCAAGCAGCTTCCCTGACGGTACTCCGAAGATGCACTTTTCAGGGTTTAGTTTCATCCTAAAAGCGCGGATGCTCGCAAAGGTCTCTTCTAGATCCGTGATCAAATCATCCTTCTGCTTGGTCTTGGCGACTACATCATCCACATAAGCTTCAATGTTGCGGCCGATCTGAGTTGAAAAACATCTCTGGATCATGCGTTGATAAGTTGCTCCTGCGTTCTTTAATCCAAAAGGCATGGTGATGTAGCAGTAAGCCCCGAAGGGTGTGATGAATGAAGTCTTTAAGTAGTCGGATTCCTTTAGTCGAATCTGATGATATCCTGAGTAGCAATCCAAAAAACTGAGTAGCTCGCAGCCGGCCGTTGAGTCAACTACCTAGTCAATGCGAGGTAACCCAAAGGGATCTTTGGGGGAAAGAGTTGTTGAGGTCGGTGTAATCAACACACATGCGCTATTGTCCCGTCTTCTTCCGAACCAGGACTGGGTTGGCCAGCCAGTCGGGATGAAGGACTTCCTTGATGAAGCCTGCTGCTAACAGCTTGGTCAGTTCCTCCTTGATCGCATCCTTCCTATCCTGTGCGAAAAGGCGGAGTCATTGCTTGATTGGTTTAGCGTCTTCCTTAACATGTAAAGAGTGCTCAATCACCTCTCTAGGAATACCAGGCATATCAGATGGTTTCCACACAAAGATATCTTGATTATTTTGAAGAAAGGTGATGAGCGTGCTTTCCTATTTACAATCTAACTCAGTGCCTATTACAGCAGTCTTAGTAGGATCAGAGGGATCTAGAGGAATTTTCTTGGTCTTGGTGTCGCTTTCTCTGCTCTTCGGCATCTTGGTTGCAAGCACTTCTCCTTCGCTTGCTGTGGACGCAACTAGTCGGATTTCTTCTCGGGCAAGCGTGATCTCACGGGTCTGGGCCATCTCGTAGCTTTCCTTGTCGCATGTGACGGCTTGCTTGATGTCGCTCCGTAGGGATATGACTCCTCGAGGACCAGGCATCTTCATCATCATGTAGGTATAGTGCGGGACGGCCATAAACATGGCTAACGCCGGGCATCCGAGTATGGCATGATACGCTGTCAAGGATTGCCTGTGGAGTGGAGTCGCCCTGCCACAGAAGTTAAGTTTCCATGTCTAGCTCGTTTTATCTTTTTCCGCTGCATTTGTAATCTTTTCTATTTATATTTTTGTAAGACGTGGATCTGTATGTCAACAATTGTTGTTTGTGTACCCTGGCTGGTCTTGGACAGGGATTTAATGCACATTCAGCTTGGAAATTCTAGTTCGTGAATTTCTGGGCTTGACAGATGCCTCTGGCCATGTTTGTAGGCGCTAACCATCACCTGCAATCAACACTTTTTGAATGTGCCTTGCTTCGAGATGGAAGGGCTGAATCATTTGAGTGGCTATTTGAGACGTTCAAAAATTGCATGGGAAACTGCCCTACGCCACGGTGCATTCTTACAGGTATAATCTAAATCATTTTTACTGTTTGTATTCTCTTGTGAAAATATTATTGAACATGTGACTGACAGATAGGTGGCCTGCTTATGAAATTTTTTAGACCAAGACCCTGCTATGGCCATTGCAGTTGGTCGTGCTTTCCCAGATGCTATCCATCGGTTGTGCAGGTGGCACATTATAGACGGCCACTCAGACCATCTGAATACTATTTTCATGAGACACAAGGACATTGAGATAGAGATGATGGTGTGCATTAACCAAGCATATATGCCGATGGAATTTGAGAATGCCTGGAAAGAGTTCATAGACAAGTTTGGGCTGCATGACAGTACAGTGTTGCGGGATTTGTATGATATAAGGCATCGTTGGGTCCCTGCCTTTTTCAAGGAAGATTACTGTGGCCGTATGACGTCGACACAGCGGAGCGAGAGCTTTAACAGGTTAGTGAAGAGTAGTTTTGTAGACCACCAAACAGCGCTACACAGGTTTGCTCGAAGGATACTTGAGGTGGCACTTTCAAGGAAGGAGAAGAAGGCTACAGAGACGCGGGCTTATCAGGTAATGAAATGTTGATAAAATAAAATGATTGCTTTATGTATTGGACCTATGGAAGTAATGTTGTTTGCATGGTCTTTCAGGCTGTACCGATTGTGAAGACAACATGGCCTTTTGCAGAGCAGCTATCTAGAGTGTACACCCGTGCAGTGTTCAAGGTGTTCGAGAATACGCTAGATGAAAGTGTTCATTTCAGGATTGAGCAATATGGAGTGGACCAGACACAATGGATTATTTCTCACAGCAAGCGTTTAGAGAAGCATGACTATTGCCAACGTCAGTTCAAAGTAACGGCGGACGTAGTGAATGGGCAGTTCAGCTGTGAGTGCATGCAATGGGAGCACATAGGTTCGAGCAGAATATTAGTAATTAGTTCAGTTGTGCATTTTTTGAAAAATTTTCTGATTCGATTGTATTTTTGAAGGTTTGTTCTGTCCCCATTTACTGAGAGCATTCGTGCATGTTCAAGTTGAGAAGATTCCTCATACATATGTACTGCGTCGTTACTCAAAGGAAGCAAAGAGTGATGTCAATTTTGACCGGCGTGATCGTCCAATATCGGGGCCAGACGGTGTTAAATTATCATACAGGACAAAGGTGTTGTCATTGGATGCACAACAGCTAGTAAAGTGGGGGAGGAGGTCGTCGGTTGCTTTCGAAAGGGCAACCTCAGTGATGAAAGTGCTGAGAAAGCAGCTGGAAGAGATTCCGGCAGATGTCCATGGGTTAGATGTAGATGATGGTGTGAGTGAGCATGAGGCTGATGTTGGCGATGGAGCTGGGCCATCGATCCATCGGGGTGGAAGTGTTGGTGATGAAATTAGCAGGCGTCCACCGCCAAAGTCAATGACAAAAGGGAGGGGAAGCGACCCCAATGAGACGGTCCGTCTAGGTGCTCCCGAACCTAAAAAATGCACCGGGGCTGCAGTTGGTGTGGTACATGCCCTAAAAACCCGGCGAATTTCGAACGTTTAGCAGCAGCTAGCAGCAGGGGCAAAGGGAAGAGGGGTCGACCAAGGGGAAGTGGTAGTGGTGGTAGTCGTGGGCAAAAAGACGTCCGGAGGACACCGATGGACGAGTGGGAGGGTGGACAGGAGGAGGAGGGCTGTAGCGTTCAAGGAGACGAAGGTGACGGCATCAGCGCGCCAAACGATGGTGATTGGGAGGGTGAATCAGAGTGACTAAAAGAAATTTATGTTAAATCTTGTGTTTAAGTGCATATTTGAACTAAATGATTGTAACTGGATGACATGGACTATGTTTTGATGAATTGTGGTCGGATATGTGTTGACAAACATTGTAAGGTGATATGTTCAGTTTGTTTCTATTAATATTGGTAGTTGTTTAATTTTGGTAACTAAATAAATGGTCTATGATATACTGTGGGAAACATTTGTGCAATAATGGGCGCAATAAATTAAAGAAGTTACAATACTGGTGCCATGGAGAAACAGTACTGTAAAAAGGGGGCTCAGGTCAGAATTCGTAGTTAGTAGATGATTTACTTAATGTGTTCATAAGGTGGATGGCTTACAGTAGCACCATTCGTAGTGTAATTGCTGGCAACTATAGGAACGGTGAAAGTTAAGTACGGGCGATAGTACCGGCAGGGGAGTGGATGGTTGGAATGGATGGGTTGGTGTAGATAATAATGTAACTGGTTCAGTTGTAGTAATAAAAAAATAAATGAATAGCGAAATAGCGACCGCATGCATTCAACGCTTCTTTGGATGTAGAGTGATGATTGGAAATGTGTTTACTTTGAATTTTGAGACTGTGGCGGGGGTATGATTAGATTATATGTAAATAATTTCTGGTGTGTTTGTATGGATGGGGTGATGTCCATGGGAGATATTGGCGCCAAGATGGTGGATAACAATTAGGATGAAATGGTCAAGCGCATGGTTGGGATGCTATCTTTAGCTAAGTCAATATGTATGCGTTATATATAGTACACCAACGGGCTGCACAGTTGCACATCAATATCCAGGTGGGAAAGCATAGGCGCATAGGCTGTCTAAGCTACCCGATGGCTCGCCGGCCTCACCCTCAATACATGGTGATTCATCCGGCTCGCATTCACCAGAGAGGTTGACTCCATCTCCGGTGATGCGTGAGGTGGATCTACCTCCTGAGTTTTGTGTTAGGGGGTCGCCAACGCCAGACTGGCCACCACCACCTACAGAATCAGATGAAGAGAGGTTTCGAGAAGATCTGGAGCAATACTACAATGATGGGTACGTGTCCACTCCATGCCCGTCACCACCATCTGATCTGTTCGATTGCGAAGAAAATTTGGAGGATGGAGATGTGGAAGATGATAATTTGAGGCATGGGGATGTGCTGCCTAAGGATAATCAATCAAAGGATACAGCGTCACCACCGAGCAAGCGCAAGAAGGTTTAGGATAGTACCGATAAGATTTGTCGTATTTAAATTGATTATTGAATTGTCGTTTTAAATAATTGCTACTTTTTCTTAGTGGCTGTGCTTAAATTTGTTAGTTGTGAATTTGTGAGTTTTGATCTAATTTCATGGGCATGAAATAAATAAGTTTATAAGTGTAGTGTAGATGTCAGTGTCGCTATCATGATGTATTCAGAAGAGATATATTCATGTGATTTGTTAAAACACCATATGATGTGTGCTGTTAGAGTTATCACTGCATGGCTGTGGTGCTCGTTTGGTGTACATGCCGTCAAGCTGCCAGAAAGTAGAGCAGTTACTTAGGGAACCCAAATGATGTTCTCACTCCTTCGGGATGGTTATTTGCCTTCCAGTAAATGGTTTACTATCGGCTAAATTTTGCTTGGGGATGACATTTCAGTGATCACATATGAAAACGAAACGGCAGTATGAATGCACAATATTTTTACAAGAAGATACCCACATTAACATTAACAAAATGAAGTAGTCTCATCCACATCGGTTCCATTAGTACATGTCCTAAAGTTCGCAAGCAGTGGTAACTATCAACAAAGACTTAACAGCGGTGTCACTAGTGGGAGCTTCCTTCACCGTTGTCAAGAGGACGAAGGTCCTTTATGGCAGAGTGGATGCATGGTGCTAGGTTGAAGCGATGGAAAATCAGTTGGTGCAGCATCTGTGCCCGAAGAACACGTGATTCAGGCTAGCAAAAAAGAAGAAATGGCATAATCAGTTTGAAAGTTGTAGCAAGTGATAACAAGAGATTGCAGATGGCAATACTGTAATGAAATGTGTTGTGATAAATATTACCGGTTGAAAATCATCAGCAAGCTTGTCAGGATTCCCCTGGTACCGCTCCATGTACCTCATGACATAGAACGCACAGTCATTTGAGCATGGCACCATCTTGGGGCATTTAACGAACTCACGATGGTAGTTGCCAAACTTTTTAAATACTTTGGGTATAAAGGATTGGAACCCATTGCTGAGACGCTTGAGGACCCTCTAGGCCAATGGGTAGTGATGCTGGCTCTCCTTTCCTCCTATTTGGTCGTAGTCATTGGAGTCCAATATATCAAAACTCCCTTGGTTCAGGTATACGATGTGGAGTGTCCAGTGGTCATTGTTGATGATTGGCAGTAAAAGCTGAACAGATGAAACAGAAGTAAAATTAGATAATATATAAAGCATGGCAGTATATATATTAACAATTGGTGTACTGAATCCTGACCTGCTCGGCCTTTGAAAGGTTGACACCCTTCAGACATTTAGACAGGTGTTCGGCTAGAGCGCGTGGGCTGAAGTTGTCCTTACTGCCAACTCTAGTAACATTCTCAATGTTGAGGAGACCCTGCAGTTATATGTTAATGAGAAGCTTGTTGGAAGGAATGTGAAATAATGGATAGAAAACGCTAAAAACAAATCATGCAGTACCGTTACAGAGGTGGGTATGAAGATCTTCTTGCCAAATGTTTCTGGATTATCTCTCATTTCATCCTTAAAAAGCAAAGATGCAAAAGCATCTATGAAAATCCCTTCTGTCATGCTTCCTGCCTTGAATGATGCGGCTATGTCCGTGGCTTTAGCACTGTAACAATCCACCTCGATTAAGGGAGGGTTGTGAGGTAAGATGTTTGATTGGGTTAGTAAGTGCGGTAGGATTGAAATAAAGCAGTTATGGAGTTGCAGTGTACATGAAATGGGTAAAAATGGAACAAAGCTCCCAAATTGAGTTGGGTCTCACAGTATCAAGTCAAGGAGCTGTACGGCGACGTTGTCATCTTTGGGTACGGATTGGCTAGCTGGGGGCACGTACCTCGCTGCCCTCTTGACACAACGTTTCACGGGGCTAGCATGTTGTCTAGCCCCGTCGTCAGCCTCTTTGTTGACCTGCATATGATACACATAGCTAGGGCTCGGTGGTCTGATGGGATAATTAATGCCGTGTACAAGTGAAAGATGGGACAGGAGAAGCAGGTGGTAACCTCAGTACTATCATGATAGGCACCTTCCATAATGCAAATCTGATCAATTTTCGCTGCTGGCTGGGAGTCAGTCAATAATTCATCTGGGGGCAGTGAGTGTGACAAGTTGTCATCATCGTCGTGAGAAGAATCACCTGTTCATGTTGCTTGGAAGAGAGCCATGATTAGACATTTGAACTAATGGAATGATGACCATATTAATAGATGTGCTGGTTGTATGTGATTAAGGAGATGGGGTCACTAACCTTGCGTGTTATGTTCAGCGGTTTCGTCTTGTACATATGCCGTCAGTGCTAGAAGGGTATTAGGAACACCGAAGTCTGGTAGTGCAGGTTCAACGGCGGGAGCAGTGGGCTGAATAATACCTGCAACAGTAAATCATATAGTAAAGACCAAGTGTGCTTGCGAAATGATCAGTCTGTAAGCAAACACTAGCTCTCTAATTAAACACTAGCTCCCGGACCAACAGTAAGCTGCACTGTGACAGATTGTATATTTAAAGGGGTAACCATATTGTGAATGCAAACCAGTAAACCTATTACTAGTATTTGCTGCACTTGGGTGCAGCGGGATAGGGGTCGAACTATTACTGATACATAAGAGTGTAGTAGAAAATAATGAAACAGAGTTAAGTACATTGGTAAGCCGGTTGGAAAAGAGAATCCTTAGTAAAATTATTACTTAAGAGTATTAGTGATGCAAATTACTAGAAGTAAATGGTAAGCAAAATATTGGTAATGAGGTGACAGTAACTGGGTTACTGGCAAAGCATGGTATTCCAGCAAGGTAGGGGTCCGGTGTGTGTATTGTGATGGTAGTGAGTGTCTTACTATGTGGCCAGTTTGTTGAATGGCAAATAGAACAAGTGGTAGTAATTGAATTACTTTGAATACAAAGCAGAACTATGACATCACTGAATATAAGAAGTTTAATTTTGCAAAAAATGAGAACAATGACACATTATCACAAAAATTAGGAAGTAAGAAATGAAGCTAGTGAGATAAAAGCCGCTATGAAAACCATAGTTGTTGCGTCCCAAAACGACTCTAAAATACATCCTCAAAATTATGCATAGAATAAGTAAAATCCATGTGAAAGCCTCCAACAATTAAAATGTGCAAAGTTAAAAGTCAAATAAGGCTTGGAGGATTTTTGTATATTTCCTAAAAGCCTAAAATGCGTAAATAAATTTTAGTGGAATTTTCAGAGCACAAATAATAATTATTAAGAAATAAACAAAGTTAAAAAGGTTTTATAAAAAGAAAAACCCTAAAAAGTCCCTTTTTCCCCCCTTCCCCTCTTGGGCCGGCTCGGCCCACCTCCCTCCCTCTCTCTCCTCTCCCCCGCGGCCCAATCGGCCTCCTCCCCGCGCGCGTGCCGCTGACGGGCGGGCCCGCCCGCCACCCTCGCTAACGGGTGGGGCCCACCCGTCATCCCCTACCTCCCGCCGCTCCCGCCGCCTCGCCCGTGCCCTAGCGCCGCCGCCGCCGCGAATCCCGCCGCCTCCCGCCGTCCCCGCGCGCAATAAAGAGGGGGAAATCACTCCCCGTGATTCCCTCTCCCTTTCCTCCCACTTTTCCCTCTCTCTCTCCCTCGGATTCGTTCGGAAAGTTTCCCCCTAACTTCGCCGGCGCATCAATGGCGGCCGGATCTTCCGCGGCCGATTCCCCCTCATCCGGCCTCTCTCTCCCCCTCCCGACCCTATATAAACGGTCCCCGTGCCTCCCTCCACCGTTTCCGCCACTCGCCGCTCTCTCTCCCCGTCGGAATCGAGCTCGCGCCGTCGCCCCTCTCTCTCCGCTGTCGCCGCCGAGCTCCGGTCCGCCGCCGTCGTCGCCCCGGACCTTCTCCCGCTTCGGCGTCGCCTTCTTCGGGTTCGCCGCAACCTCGCCGACCTCGTCCACCTCTCCGTTTCGGTCGCCGACCGCCGGAACGCCGCCGTCCTCGTCTACCCGAGCCGCGCCGCTGCCTTCCTCCGCTCCGGTCGCCGTTTCCGCCGTCGCCGTCGAACCGGGGTGAGCCGTGGACCGCCCATTTCGTTTCCCCCTCCCCTCCCCTCTCTCGGCCGCCGCTCCGCCGTGCCTATGGCCGCCGCCGGCGACCATAGGGGCGCGGGCGCGCCGCCTCCCGTCGGCTGTGCCGGCGAGGCCGCCTTCGGGCGCGCCCCGCGGCTGCCATGTGGGGCCCGGCCGTCAGCCGCCCGAGCCCTCGGGTGCGGCTGACGCGTGGGACCCACGGCGCCGGCCGGTGTGAGCCGCGTGCACCCGGTCCACCGTGGACCGAGAGGCTGCCGCGTGGGCCCCACTCCCGTGGACCCGGTCCGCGCGCTCCTCCCCTCGGCTGACGCAATAAATCCGATTTTAAATTAAAATTTAAATGAAGAAATTCGCAAATATCCATTTAAAGAGCATATAAACTTCAAATGGCCATAACTTGGCCATTTGAACTCGGAATTGGACCGTTCAAGTCTCTAATTTTTCCTTAAGAAGTCAAGAACCCATTTTTGTGCTTTGTTTCTGCTTGTTATATGGAGTTTATTAGAGTAAAAGCCTTTTCTTTTCCGTTGGTCGTGTAGACGCTGCAGCTTCGGAAGATCTGCTCTTCGTGGAAGTTGAAGCCGGCGTTTGGGAAAGCGAGCAAGGCAAGTCACATCATCTTTGAACATATTGAATCCCACTTTATAAAATTATGTTGATTTAAATTATTGCATTATCGCTTTATTTAAATTCCCGCGTTATCACTGTTTTATTTAGCCATGCCTATTTACCTTTGTTACGACCTTATTATTATTGTTATTGTTATTATTTCCTTGTTCACCCTAGAATAAACAAAACCCCAACTAGTGGACACTCTACTCATGGTATCACTAGTATGATTTTTGGTAGATGCTTCGCTTTTAATTAGGTAACATTAGGCGGTTTTACAACTCTAGACTTTGGGAATGTTCGTATCACCTGGACACTATGGAATGGTTTGGTTATTGTGAAATTGGCT